TTTTTTTTATATGCTCTCTATAAAATGTCTCGTTAAATCTTTTTTTTTTTTTTTTTTTTTAATTTATATGCTTCTTATAAAATGTCTCATTAAATTTGGTTCAAGCGCTGAGTATATATATATATATAGTAAATCCTATAAGAATAGGAGCACACCTCGTTCTTTACGTCTATATGCGTGTGCCTGCTTCTTTGTGCGTGTGTCTTGCTCCTCTTCCTCGGGATATGTGTGCGTGTGCGTGTTTATGGCTCTGCGAATGGCGTGAACTTTTTCGCATCGCCCGCTGCGATTCCGAGATTGCTCGGGTGTGTGGATGACTTGATTTTCCTAATGGTAGCTGGCCCCCACTTACCACTCACCATTCACCGTTTGCCATCCAGCATTCAGCATTTCCCATTAGCCATTTATTACAGCGAATTTCAAATTTCACGATATCTGCTGCAGCCATTTTCATTGCCTACTTTGGGGCCGCTGTGGTCGGGCGTTAAGTGCGCGCCTAAAAGCAGGCAACGATAAATTCGACGTGAGATCGGCTTATCGATGAGCTGAAAATGCGAGCAAACAAATAAATACACATTTTACACGGCTGCTGGTCAACAAATTGCCTTTATTTAACGGCTTTCATAGGCATTAATATTCATGTGGGAATCGAACAGGTGTACTTAATCTGTTTAATCATCAGCATAAATAATTAAATACAAACAGCTGCGGCTGCTGCTGCATTCAGCGCTGACTGCTCTGGAGATACAATCTAATGACTGCCATAAGCCGTTTGCTTATGGCTTGCTCGTTGTTGCTTTTGTTGTTTGCGGAATCGGAAGCGAAGCAAATCGAATGGCAGACAATTGCGTGTGTGTGTGCTCACACGAAACTCAATCACTCATTAAGGCGAACAATGAAGCGTCTAGCATCAAGAGCCATCGATAAGTGTAGACCAGAACGCGGCACAGTGGGGCAATGCTGTGACACAAAGTGATTATCATAATATAGTTATATAAAATTTGTAAGGCGGTTATACTTTAATGAATAAATTATTCGTAATGCTTGTTGTATATAAAGACGTCTCAAAGACGAGGGTAAATTGGAGGAAAAAAATTTTATTATTTAAAAAAATGTAATATTTTTTAGATAAGACTATAACTAAAGATCTTTGGTATATTCTTTTTTTACTGCTCTTATATTTGTGTGTCTCTCTCTCTCTCTCTCTCTCTCTGCTCAATGCTTGTCTGAGGGCAAATGACTGTTTAAGGTTTGTTTCTGTCTTTATCGCTTTTCCTTCCTTTTCTCTGTATGTTTCTTTCTCAATAAAATTCTCTTGTTATCTCAATGTGTTACTTTAGACCATTTTATCCCTTTCTATCTCTTATTTTCGTTTTCTCTCATTTCTCATTTCTTCTACGAATAACTACATATATTACACTAATTATCTGTATCACTAATTATCTGTATCTCTCTATCTTTATATGATTCTCTTTTTATCGCATTTTGCTTCCATCCCATGTTCTCCTTTATCTTATTCTCTTTATCTCTCTCTCTCTCTCTCTCTCATACTTTATAATTTTGTCTCCTTTATAATTTATCTCCCTCTCTCTGTCTCTATCTATCTTTGCATTTATGTCTCCCATTCCCTCTGCGTCTCTCCCTTTTCTTTCTCCCTCTCTCTCTCTCTCTCGGTATCTCTCTCTATTCTTTCTTTGTCTCCCTCTCTCTGCTTTGTCTATATTTAAAGAATATTCTATACTAAAATTATTTCGCTTGCTATTCAACAAGCTTGAACCACTGTGCAGTGTTTTGTCAAACAATTTAACTTTGTTTTAGTTCGCACTTCACACAAATAAACAAAGGCCCTGAACACAGCAGAGGTGTTGCTGTTGTTGTTGCTATTGTTGCTGTTGTTGCAATTGTTGTAAATGAGCTGTTGATGCATTGCATCAGATAACAAATTAGAGCGCTTTCTGCTTGCATAAATTACGAAACGAAGCATCTGAGTTGAGAATTGGGCACAAAAACGAGTTTTGATTTGTTGTTGTTGTTGTTTGACTTGTAACGCCCACGCGAACAGCTGCTGATCGAGTCACTCACTCACACACACACTCTCTCACACACGCACGCACTCGGCTACAGCCACTCGAAATATGGCCATAATAATAAGCACGATAATGACGTTAAGTACACGCCAAATTGGTCAAAACAAAAAAGTGGAAAAACAGCGCCCGAACACGAAGCGAACTGAAACGAAGTCTGAGCGAGCCGATTGCCGCAGAAATTCTAGTGATCCGCATAATGGCTGAGCCGACTCAGCCAGTTGCTCCGTGACAGTTGGCTGAGACAGATCAGACCCAAGGCAGAGACCCGTTACGCGCTTCGCTTTCTCGCACTTGAACTTTGCGCGGGCTTTCAACCGCGCTCTATCCGCCCCGCCTCGCCCCCGCCCCGTCCCGCTCCGCGGCTCGTGTACAATGTCATTTTTTCGCAACATCCGCTCCTCGCTGGCCTCGTCCCGCAAGAGTTCGTCGCGCGATACGACGCCCGTGCGCAGCTGCAGCTCTCGGCCGGCGAGCGTGATCAGCTCACGGCGTGGCTCGACGACGAGCTCCACACTGCAGCGCGGGGACACCTTCATACTGAATGGCTCCGACGAGGAGCAGCAGCAGCAGCAGCAGCAGCAGCGCGGCAATGAATCGAACAGCAGCACTCTGGAGAAGAAGTCAAAGAAATCGAAGGTGTTTAGCAAATTCAGCACATTCACGAAACGCAAGAAGCAGCCCTCGCCCGAGGAGGTGGCCAGCTACGAGCACCATCCCAGCGACACCGCCACGAATACCTACTACAAGTGGCGCAACGACGGCGATCGCATGCTCGACTACGATGCCCATGCGGATCCGTTCAATTTCCTGTACGAGCAGCAGGGCAAGGGCAGGCAGTCCGCTGGCTCGCCGGCCGACGGGATGCAGCGGCAGCCGAGTCTGGGCTCCAGCTCCAGTGGGAGCTTCGATTCGAGCACGTATCGCAAGAGCAAAACGCCGACGCATCTGCGCGAGCAGCTGGAGCAGCTGAAGACCCACTCGAATGACGATCTGCTGGAGGAGGAGGAGCGCGACAAATACAAAACGGTCACACTGAACAGCTTTCGCAAATCATTTCGCGACCGGCTGCTGCAGCAGCAGCAACAGCAGCCCCACAATCCCGCCTGGTTCGTCGAGGTGCCGCCGCCCGAGGCGAGGCCCGAGTCGAGCAGTCAGCGCAGCGCCTCCAAGGAGAATCGTCCCGACTTTCTGGTCTTCGACAACGATAACTATCGGCCGCAATCGCGCTCTCCGCTGCGCGATCGACCCTCGCGCTCCGCCACCCGCTCGCCCGTCAAGCGCAACGAGACGTTCCGTGTGGCCCAGCCCATGCTGCGTCGCATGTCGCCCTCGCCCACGCCCAAGCCCACGCCGCCTGCCTCCGCCATACGCATCGAAATCAAGAACTCCATATTGCCCCACTCGCCGGGCCGACTGGTGCCGGTGGGCGTGGCCAAGCCGATGCCCACCACGGAGTACTACGCACAGCGCCTGCTGGCGAGCAGCCAGGCCAGGCAGCAGCAGCAGCGGCAGCAACAGTCGCACTCAACGTCGCAGCAGCAGCAGCCGCAGCGCGGCGGGCGTTATCAAACCCTGGTGCACATCGGCAGCGAGCAGGGCAAACTGTCGCCGGCGCTCGCCCGAGGCCGCGCACCCACCCGCGTACAGCTCTACGGCAGCAAGCCGAGCAGCAACCGGCAGCAGCCGACGCCCACCTACTTCGGCGGCCACTACAATGCACCTGCGCCCGTCTCGGCGCGACCCCTGTCCAGCTCGCGGCAGAGTTCTGGGGGCGTCGCGACCAGCAATTGGGGGCGTCGCGAGCAGCAGCAGCAGCAGCAGCCCAAGCAGCAGCTGCAGCCGCAGCCAATGCCACGAGTCGCCCACGCAAGGCAGCGCAATCGCTCACCAATCAAGATTCCATGGCGCTAGATCGACCACTCGACTGAACAGCTACGGCTAGAGCTGGGCGCGTGACACGAAACACGAAACGAGACAAAAACAACAAATATATGTATATAAATCTACATTAATATATAAAAGACAACTAATAAATGAATTTTAATTTATGAAAAATAACAAACAAGAAAATTTTGACTGAAATTTCCAAGCTGTGAATTGTTTAAAGTAAGACACAATTTTTCGCTGAGTGTAGTTACACTATATATTTATATATAGCATAATTATATAACATTTGTTTACATGTTACACCTGAAAGCTCTGCTGCATTCGCCATGCGATTTGGCACGCCTCCCGCACTAAATTGCATAGCGACACCCGCTCATCTCCCGTTGTGGGGGGGCAGTTCGATTTGCGTCAGTTTCAGGCGAATTCTATTCATTTTTTATATCAATTGTGACAACAAGTGATTCATCTCCAAAGTGTCCCAAATCTCTTTGCCTTGTCAATTTCATTACTTATTGCTCTTGGGTGTATAAAAAAAAAAGTTTAGATCAAGCAAACAAGCACACGAAACAAGGCAAAAATAGGTAGACCATGTAGAGAGAGAGAGAGATAGATAGGGGAGATGAGGAACGGCGAGAAAGAAAACAAATATAAAGTGTGTTGTGTAAATTGTTAATTATCATTTATTTCGGGCTTCAAAATCTTTTTGACCCACGGCAACATTGCTGCCCAGTTTCCTTCAGTGAGATATGTATATAGATAGATGATATATGTATACGTTTATATCTGGTAGTGTAGTTGCAGAGCCATTAAAGGCAAAGAAACATGTGAAACGCATACACAAAATCCACATTTATTCAGAGTTACATATTTATATACATATATAATATATATATGTATGCACATTCACATGAAATCGAATTCGTTTGCGCACTTTTATTTGGTCATTAATTATGGCTACCTTTATGCTGTTGCCTTTATAAAATTTTTAAGTATTTCGCATACTCCAACTTTACTAAGTTATTATTATAATATTTTTTTGGTAAATATTTGCCAAACGAATTTCAGTGAAATATTTCCTGTTGCGCTTCCATCTATTATGTTATAGAATTTTTATAATTTTTATAAATTTTATAATCACTCAGGAAACTGAAAAGAGTAGCAATTAGAGCTAGAAATGAGAGCTAGAAACTTGAAATTTGGAAMATATACACCTGTATACGCTCGTTATATAAAGTGTCAAGATTATGCCCATAAAATCGGAAAATGCATTTTCCGCTATCTCAGAAACTATAATAGTTCAAGTGCTAGAGAGTGGTATATACCAACTGGGGTATTTTTTTCCTAAATTTCAATTTAAAATGTATTTAATGTATAGTATTTTATTTTATCTCTAAATACACAATACTCTTTTTATTCCCCTTTTTTATTTAAGCATTTTTTTAAATATATATTATCTTTTATTAATTATTATTATTCTGTGTCTAATTAAATTAACTTTTTTTACACTATTTCATTTAATTTTGCTTAAAATCTTAAAAACCTCTTCCTAAGTGCTCTTCAACTATTTTATTCATATTTTCTGTGTTGCGCAATTCTTAAACTTTGAATATTTTTATTAGTTTAGCGCAAACAATGTATAAATTTTTGGTCAATATTGGGCGACGCGTCGCAAGTGTCGGGGAGTTGTTGGGTCTCTCGGCTGACTAACTGTGCATGACAATAGATGAGCGTTACGTGACGAGCATTCGACTCAATTTGACTGCCTGACCATATTCTGTGGGGGTTGGTTAGAAAGCAAATGCGCTTATTGTGCGAGCCCTATTTGGCTTGACAGAGTTCTACGCGTAACGGCATCTACTATAGACATAGCATATATGTCTATATAGACAGACGTACGAGATGACGTCAGCAGTTGATTTGTTTGTGCGCCTTTTTGAGATGCCAAATCAAACGAAATACGGATATCTATATACATATGGATGAGGGCATAAATGATTTAAGCCAAATATGAGTATTTATTAGAGCTAAATGAATCATAGATACGATTATAGTATATATATAGTATATGTATCATATTGTTGCTTGCTCGTTCGACTTATAAGTCGACTCGATCGATCGTTTCATTAAAAGTTATTCAATGAATGCATAATCAATGCGCTCATTTACAAGCAATTAGCAAGCAGCTACATTGAAGGCATTCCCTAAATGTATTTATTATTAGCGGTATTCCCTAGAATGACAACTTTTTTTTATATGAAACTCTAAACCTTTTCAAGCAAATGGGTTTTGCTATGGTAGACCCCTAGACTTTTGGCAATGTTAGGGGCATTCCCGCAACCAAAACGTTTCTCAATTGCATTATACTCAATTCTCGGAAGTTGAGCTGTTCATGTGGCTCAAGACTTAAAGGTAATTGAACCACAACCTTTTGTGGAATAATTATAAATGCATTAGCCTCTTTGTTTGCGGTTAGATTCGGTTTGATATTTCGTAAACCCACATTCGATTATGTTTTTTATGAGACACCTTCGCTGCTGAAACTCTTGACGTGTCACTCAAATATAACAAATAAAACTTCAATTCATCTTTAAAAAATCAAACTATTCAAGATTATAAAAAGTCTACTTATGCAATAACAACTTGAATTCCAAAATTGAAGATCTTTCAGAATTGAATCTCAAGATGTTGGTCTGAAAGCGGAAACGCTTGGATATTATTAAATATTATTAT